CTTCGGAAACGTTGGCTCCAGACCCTCTCGACCGGGAGGATCCACGGATCATACTTCACCGAGAAGATCCGGTTTTTCCACCCCCGGTTGTTCCCGGGCAGCCCCTCGATCGAGCATTTGTCTGCTCGAGATTGTATCATCAGAAATCCTCCCCCGTGCGCAGCCGCCAGCACCTTTACTTGGTAGACGAAGTTGAAGAGCTCCATCGTGCAGGCTACGTCGTGCCGACTGCAGATCTGGGGAAAGCAGGCGATGATCCGATGCGCGTTCGGGCAAATCTGCCCGGGCATAACCTGGTAGTAGCCCAGGAATGCGGTGAGGAGGCTGGAAAAGGGGAACGTGATCGGGGCCATCAGCGAATCGTAGTGTAACCCAATCCACTTCCCCTGGTGCCGCTCGATGATATTTCCGAGCTGCCTGTTGGTGTCGAACTCGACCCGACCAGCAAGAGTTGCCGCGATTTTGCTTGCTTCTCCATTTGTCAGCAAGCTCCTCTGGCCTTCGACGTTCTCGCTGTTGAGAAACTCAAACCCGTCCCCGCCCGGTGGCGCCGGCCCGGTTGGGTCCTCCTCATCCGCTTCGGCCTCGTTGGCCCGGTCTCCGCCCTCAGGCTCGGCTCGAGGATAATCCCCTATTATCCTCGTAGGCGTTTCCCTAACGCCTTCGTCCGGGGAGTTTCGTCCGCTCGTGGATGTCTCGTCACTCCCCGACCCGCTGGAATTCGACCCCGAGGTCCCTGACGAGCTCGATGACCTTGCGGGCTCGGGGGCTTGGTCGGGTGTATGTTGCGGTCGTTGCTCGACCTCTGGAGAGTAGGACATGATGTCCACCTCCTCGCTACTCTGATTGACCGTGTTGTCGTAGTCTGCAACTGAAGCGTTCTGGCTATCTGAGTCTGACATGCTTAGTTCTACCTAAAGGTCGGTCGGGGTTAGTACAGGGGTCGTGAAGTTAGTTCGATGTTAGCTCTATCCTACTCCTACGCAAAGCTAAAAGCAAGGTAAAAAGCTAAGGGATCAAGAGCTTACCGATTGCTGGTACTTGAAGAGAACTCGAAGCTTGGCTTTGCTCGGCTGGATCGTTGAATTGCTGCTCGGGACTCTCTGAGGGTACCGACTGCTTCAGTGGATTGAGGAAAGTTCAAATGGAGGCTTCAAGGGCCTATTTATAGGAGAGCATTTAGGCGGGAAACCAATCCACTTGCGTGACACGACCCGCACTGATTCCAAGGCCGGCAGTGGCCGACACGTGGCGAGGGAGGGAATGACAGCTGGCTGGTCGGTTTGGTGGCGGACGGTGGGGCTTCTTCATCCCGTCCCGTTTTTTCCCGGATGGTCAAAAAGGCCCGGGCTGGGGGGCTTTTGGTAGGGAATATCCCGACCGACATAACCTCCACCACGACCGGATTGCCTTTGTCTTTGTCTTTCTGTCTTTGCAGGTAGCAGGTCGGGCTTTTTACGAAGACCCCGGTCGGGAAGCGACCGGGAATTGCCCGAGCGCTGGTGTCGACCACCGAGCGGTAGCCCTTTGGCGAGAGAGCTGACAGAGGACACGTGGCGGCTCTTCACGACGACAGGCAGGGCACCCGGAAGGGTGACACGTGGTGGCTACGTGGAGGACATGCCGAACGGCTGGAGTTTTGTCCCCGGCATAACGGCTATAAATACCCACAGTAGCTACAGTGTGGGGGACTTTTGGACGATCGATAGGTTGTTGTTAGAGAATCCCGACCGCACTCAGTCGGTACTCAGAGCAACCAAGTAGATTGTACTTAGGGCCTCTACCGTGATCAATAAAGTCTTTTATTTGCTTTAAACGGTCTCAGGTATTTTATATTGCTTGCGTATAATTAGCAGTATCAATAATATTAAATAATACAACAAGATTCAAACTCATGATCACTTGAATAAAATACAATTCACCTGTGTTTCTCCCATTCTTCCATTTGGAGAAATCCAAATTTCATTTCTCCAAAATTGTACATGAAGTGGAAAAATGGAAGAGGAGTAAGCATTTGGAAGCAAAATTTTAGTAAACAACTTCTCCAATTTTTATTTTTTCACTTCTCAATTTCTTCAATTTTTTAAAAAATCCTCCATTTTTTCAAATTAGTAAACAATCCCTAAGTATTTTAGTTTTAGAAGAAATATCTATACATCATGCATACATCTATGGTTATATATTTCCCTAAAATTTGTATTTATTGCATAATTGTGTCTAGATGAATGATTATCTTTGTAGATAATTTTTTTTCACTATGGCTACTATTTAAGAGGAAGATATGTCAATATGTATCTCCATTTAATTGATGTCAGATTTTGAGAGCTTGTTTGAAACACAGTTTATTGTGATACGTATACTTTCTTGATGTGACCACCTCACACATTGTATGGTGAGTGCACCAATTGTCATGTGACAATTGTTGTTGTGTCACAAGTTGCTCTCTTATGCTTAATGACAATGTGAACCGTCATTAAAAGACATCTATTGATTGACTCTTATTAATAACAACTAGTTTTTTTACGCGCTTTGCGCGAATGAGATAATGCCCAATGATTATTTTTAAATAAGTATTTCAAAGTATATCAATGCAATATTATATTAGAGATGTTCATGCATATGTAAATAAATATTGAATTTGTTTATTTAAAACGGTAATTCAAAATATATAAATGCAAGATAATATTTATTGAATTTTCTAATCGATATTTGGTAGTGGTAGTTTTCCCCTACATGTTTCATGCATTGTGAGATGTGTGTCGTAGGTTATCATGTGAAAGTATTGAACAAAATATTAATATTTATTATATTTGTATAAAATACTTGGTAAATAAATATATATAATGTATTGTGTATTATAACTTTGATATTTAATTACAAGATAATGTAAAAAGAAGACAATGGACAATGCAGTGAATATAATAAATTAATAAATTTGAAGGTAATGAATCTTTGAATTGTAGAAAATAAAGATAATATAACTAATGAAATTATATCTATTTTTAAATTTTTTATAATGAATAATTTTTTTTTTTTAAAATAAAGACATTATAGACATCTAATTCTAAATTAATTAAATGCATATGTATTATTTTTTGTTGTAGCTACTACTTTATTTTGTTTAAGAGCAATAAAGTGGACAAATTATGCTATGGAACTGTGTCCACCTTGCAAGGTGGACATGCATATCGGAGATGTTCATGCATATGTAAATAAATATTGAATTTGTTTATTTAAATCGGTAATTCAAAATATATAAATGCAAGATAATATTTATTGAATTTTCTAATCAATATTTGGTAGTGGTAGTTTTCCCTTACATGTTTCATGCATTGTGAGATGTGTGTCGTAGGTTACCATGTGAAAGTATTGAACAAAATATTAATATTTATTATATTTGTATAAAATACTTGGTAAATAAATGTATATAATGTATTTTGTATTATAACTTTGATATTTAATTACAAGATAATGTAAAAAGAAGACAATGGAATATAATAAATTGATAAATTTGAAGGTAATGAATCTTTGAATTGTAGAAAATAAAGATAATATAACTAATGAAATTATATCTATTTTTAAATTTGTTATAATGAATAAATTTTTTTTGTTAAAATAAAGGCATTATAAACATCTAATTCTAAATTAGTTAAATGCATATGTATTGTTTTTTATTGTAGCTACTACTTTATTTAGTTTAATAAGAGTAATAAAGTGGCGTATATACTTTTCATCAACAATAATGCAATCATTGATTTTTTTTTAAAATAAAAAAATACATACAAAAAATATTAATGCAAAAGTATAATTGAAATATTAAGTTTTTTTCTGATCTAAATAATTAAAAGAATATTAAATTTTTTTCTGATCAAATAATTTTTAAAGTTCTTGATTTATAATCTTTGATGCTTAACTTTGAATGTTATGTATTTCGTCAGACTAACTATTTGAACAAATTTTATGTTAAATTTTATATTATATATATTTTAAATATATTTTAACATATTCGTAGTATATGTTTACCAATTATGCCAACTCTAATTGGGATGTGGTTTGAAACTAAGACTTTTCTTATAGAAATTAATGTGTAAGTTAATATAATAAATACTTAACGAAATATTCCGTTACTAAAGTTTATGCTAACGGAATTTAGGTTATTTAAGGGAAGAAAATAATATAATAGAGGGTAAATAAGGAAAATCAATAAAAAAAATACTAAAATAAAAATATTATGAACTATTCATTTTAAGAAACAATAGTATAATATGAACCATTCATTTTAAGAAACAATAGGACCGACATTTTTTTGTTCCAGTTAAGGGCCTAACATTATTGGCTCTTATTAGAATTGTAGATGTAGATTGTAGATTGTAGATGTAGATTATTTGCTATAGGTCATAAATGTTGTGATTTATCTCACATTTCATAAATAAACTTAATAGCTACAACATGAAGTGAGCTTCTAGAAAAATTGTTAAGAGCGTAGTATGTGGTATCTTATTCTTTGGTTTCATACCACAAAACAGTGACATGATTTTGTCAAATTGCAACAATCCCTATTGTTACTAAACCTTAACTTTTTCTTGTAATAATAATGAGATGACATGAGCCTAAATGTTTTGATTTATCTCACATCCTATGAATTAGTTTTGCCTAGAATTATATGTTAATATAATTAGGGCAATTTATAATTATCTTTAATTTTTTTAAGTACTATCGACTCTATTACGTAGTCTATTCAATATACCTTTTCTATTGCTTGTAGTCCAAAATGTCAATATCTCACCATTAGGGGTTCAATCCAGTTACTTTCCTTCAAGAAGAGGCACAAAAGTGCAAATTGAATATTAATTTAATTAGTGTAATGCACGTATTATAACTAGTATAATAGAAAGAAATAATTTTTTTGGGTGAAAATAGGAAGTAATAATATGGATATGTCAAAATCATAAAACTCCAATGGCAAGAACGAAATAACATAAAAGGAGGCGTCCATTTAAGAAATGTGTTTGAAGTTTGTGTTCTCAGCCTCTGAATCTGCAAAGTGCGAAGTGTCAACACCGCGAAGACGGGTAGGATTGTGAGTTCCTTGAAGAAAATGGCATGTTTCCCGTTTGAACTTCTCCAAAGGGTCCCCTCCTTTTTCCCCTTCTGTCTTCACGCCAATCCCTCTTTTCTCTGACCCCTCAAAAAGCATAAAGAAAAAGCAAAGGAGGAGAGGAAGAAGGAGACAATCCCACTCTCTCTCAGATTCCATTCCACTCCACTCTCTCTCACACTCATTTTCATCATTCCAAAAAATCCTTCTTTGTTTACATTATCTTCTTTCCCGTTTGCTCACTTCCTTGTATGAACCAATTGAGAAAGCAGCCAAGATTCGAACTGGAAAGATCCTTGAAATTATCAACATCTAACCCATTCTTCCAAATCTTTACTTTTCCCCCTCGAATCCTGTATATTCAATTCATTCTTTCTCCTTTTTCTTTTCCTCATAAACCCTTTTCCTTGTCTGTTCCCATTCTTGCTATTGTATTATTTTTCTTGAACTTTCTAATACAGGCACATATATAGACACAGAAATACAGTATGCGGGTCTGTTATTGGATGGGGTGAGTTGAGATGGGTGGCGTAGGAAGAGTGGAGGTGATTGGTAGCAAAGGGTGTTCAAAGCTGTTTGTGGATATTTCTTCTTCATTCAGAGGGCTACAACCTCATTCTTTAGACCCACCATTGCCCATGAGCCCAGCTTCCTCTAACACTGTAGTAACAGAATCGAGGGTCGCAGCTCGATCCGTTGGCCCACTTTCTGGGCTTGTCATCTGTGTCACTGGATTATCAAAAGGTATACTATAATGCTTGATATTGCCTGCTTTCCTGTACCAGGATAAAATTCACTATTGTACTTTGTGTCTGATGGGTTATGATTGGATCATGGCACTTGTTTGGTTTTGCAATTATACAGTATTACAGTTTGGAGATATAATGTGTATTTTTTTTTTTTTTTTTTTTTTTTTTTGTTGTAATTTGATTAAATGGTTTATTGATGATATGATTTTGCTTTAATGTTTGGTTGGCAGAAGCCAGGATGCAAGTGATGGAAGCAACAGAGAGGTTGGGTGGTCAATACAGCCCACATTTGCATCCACATTGTACCCATTTGGTGGTTCAAATATCCTTTCTTTCCTCAATTTTTCAATTTCCCCTTTTCTAACTGTGAACTTGATTACCCATTTTGATTACCCTATTAGATGATAATATTTCCCCCTTTTTTCTGGCTATCTTCTTTTCCGTAGTATACTGTGTCTTATTTTTTAATAATCTTTTTATGGAATGGTGATTTAAGTACAAATGATGGGCAATAATCAACAATGAGGACATGGAATGGTGGAAAGAAGATTGCTAATTAGCTATCATTTTTTATATAGTATGTTTTTTCACTTAGTTGGTTTCCTCCTCCTGTCCAAACTGATTATATAGTTAACATCTTTAGTGCTTGTACTTGTATGCTTCCTTAATGTCTTTTACAGCTTTTGCGGCCGCAAATTTGAGCATGCCCTGAAACATGGATCCAAAACTGGTCTTTTGATTGTTACACTGGGTTGGTTTGTAGATAGTGTGAGAAATAATGGTAAGAAGTTCTATCTTTCATACATAGTTCTATTTCTAGTATATGATGAATACACTTCTTATGAATAGTTGTCTTCCATCCCTTTCTTTAGCTTGTTGGTACCATTTTGGTTCAATTGGCTACTGAAATAACTAAATCCCTATTGCATTTCTTTCTGCAGTGATAATGATGATGTCCTTTTAAGCTTTACTATTTCTGCCATTATTTGATGAACATTTTGTTGCTGTTGTTTGCTGCAGTTAGGTTGAGTGAATCACTTTATAGTGTCAAAGTTGCCGGAGAAGGTGTCTCTTTGGATGTTTTCAACCGAATTGGTCAGAAAGATGACACTCAGACTTCTTGTCTTCCCATGGGAGCACTTGAACATCACAAAAAATCCAACACGATTGAAGAGCCACAACAGAATGTTTCAGAAAGAGAATATATGAGAAGAACTACAGGCTCTCCTTTGTTTGGTCATTCATTTTATGTAGATGTTGGTGTGTCTGATGAGCTGCGTAGGAAGGTATACCTGGGTTGTATGATGGTTATAAATTATGGTTCATCATCTAGACTTGTTTTAGGATTTAAAGTTTTAACATCCATCCTTTTATACTAGTTTGATGCTAGATGCGTTTTTATACAAATGCCAATGTGTTAAAAGTTATTCCAAAGCCTGCGAATCTAAAAACATAATAAGTCTCAATCAAAGTTATATCCCTCATTTATGTCCATGTTTTTAATGCTAATCATTTTGTATATTGAGCTTTAAGAGTTGTACTATATAATTTTTTGGACAAAAATACCCCTACCGTTATAACTTCTGTTATCTTTTCCATTATTGTTACCATGCACATGCATCCACCATATATTTTCTTATATTCTTTAATGATAATAATATTTGTAGACATTATATATTGGATTATTATAATAAATAAATTTGATTTCATATAGATTTTAATTAGTAGAGATTTGTTAATTATTTAAAAAATATATATATAAATATTGGGCATATTTTCCGCATCGCGCATAGAAAAGACTAGTTGATGTTATATAAAGCTGAATGCCTCTAACTTAGTTACTTAGATCAATTAAATTTATCAGAGCTGCATTTGAGTGCTTCTCTCAGGCAATTTGTTGCTACACTTAGGTTGTTGAGGCGGCTTCTGCCCAAGGTGCTACTTTGGTGGATCAATGGTTTGTTGGTTGTGGGGCCAGTCACATAGTGTGCGAGGGAAATTCTATTCGGAAATATCTTGGTCATTCTACAAATATTGTTACAGTAAGTGCTTTTGCTATATGAATGTTTATAAGAGCCTAAATAGATTCCTAGATATGTATTCAATGGAGTTTTCTCCATCTAATATGATCTGCAACTTATCTCTTTCATGTCTCAGCCGTTATGGGTTCTGAAGACTGTGAAGGAAAAGCAACTGCAAAGACTTGTTCACATATCTGCTGATCTAGCTAAGCAAACGGGGATAATGGTTGAGAGTATTCAATCTGGCATTTATAGAGAGGTGTGTGTGCTTTACTCATTCTCTCTTACTCTCTTCCTTTGTCATCATTTTTTATGAAGATTTCCCGACACTTGTTGCTTTGCCATTTCAAAAGAATGCATGTCAGATATGTAAACATTACTTTAAGATGTATATGAAAAGCTTTGAAAGACATCCTTTTGGTGGGGCATGCCCATGGGTCAGTTTTGGTGGTCTGTTACCTATTATTGAACAAAGACTGTTAGTGAAAATCTGTTAGTTTCTCACTTGTCAAAAAGTGATCGCATTGTCACATAAGGAATCGTGATTGAGGGGATTGCATTTTGCTTTATTACGAGCAACGCAAAAAGTGTAACCCTAAGTGTGCTTTTGAATATTAAGCAAGGTCAACACAGTCAACAGATGAAATTGAGGGTTCAAAATGCCTTATCTCAGCTCCAAATTGCTTATTACTCCCTTTTTTGGGCTGGCAGGGGAAGAAAACGATAATAATGCCGTCTCAACCCTTCCTAGTTAAGCATACTTCTCTCACATTCTCCTCTCTCTGGGCACTAAGCAAGAGGATATTTTTTTTTTTTAATATTTTTAATATTTTTATTTTATTTATTTAAATTAATTAATACTCTGGATATTTAATTTGTGTTTAATTAATTAGTTTGGGCAGTAGGCAGTGGGGCTCTCCAGACTCCAGGAAATAGTTTTATTTTATTTTATTTTAAGTTAAACCTTAATTAATTGTTGTATTCTGTATTCAGTATGATGCTTGTGTTAAGATAAATATTAATGATTGATGAATGATGGAATATTATGAAAATATGATTATATTAATTTTTATTATGTTAATTGTAGAATTTGGGATGCTTGTCAAAGGCTGTTTCATCTCTTAATGATGTAATATGCTTGTATTGTTATATAATGGTGTCAATTATAATATTTTTGTCTTAGATATTGCATTATAAATTATTTATATATCATTCTAGATTATGAAATTTAATTTTGCCACGTCGCATTGCTTTATATACAAAAGCGACACTTCGCTTTGTGCTTTAAAGTGATGCGGAGCTTTGTTGCTCTGGTACACTTTTCACATTACAAAATGTTGAATTTGGAAGATGGAATGGCCTGGCGGGTGGAGAATAACACCACCCGCTAGTTAGGCGGAAGCAAGAATGAAGAATCAAGAATGAGAGAATGTATGTCTATATGAAACTGAAAGGTTATAATATATTCTATATTCTCTATGTTTCTAATACATAAACACAGTACATATATATATACAAATACATAACTGTAAATACCTATCCATAAACTAACACCTATTCATAAACAGACACAACCCTACAGATAAACCTAACTATTTAGTTTTCAACACAAAACATTGGTTGGTTTTTTTTAAGTTCAAAAGTGCTTGGTTTAGTTTGCACTGTTTTAAGATGAACATGCGGTTTGAGTGATTTACAAATACACAATAACTGCCTATTTTCTTACCAATTTAATTTAGACTAACCATCATGCTTTTCAATTGCCCATAAAAGTTATGTTTAAACAATACATGGAAGTTGAAGAAATGGTAGAATATTAATGACCTCAAAGTGAGAGAGAGAGAGAAAGAGAGATAGGAGTGTCAGAAATAGATCAGCAAGAGAAAAATTAGTAATATGGGTTTTAGGCAACAATGTTATAGTTGGCAAAAAAGTTATGATTATCAAGTTTGATATTGCAGTGTCTTGAATTGTTCTTGAAACTGCAAGTTGTTAAGAGGTTCAATTTGGATCTTTTGAAGAACTATTGTTAATGATGGTATCAAGCTAGACAGGTAGGGAAGCGAAGAGAAATGTAGCAGGTGGGCAATTACTCAAAGGTAGGATGGAACTTTCAATTGAAAGTTGAGATATCTAGACTCCAGACTTCCAGAGAGTTGCCATTGGACAGAAATAAAGCAGCAAAGATAATGTGTAAAAAATATTAGACCTGCCACTTACTTAGCATGCCTCTTGCAGTCTTGCTTGATCGTTTAAAAATCCTATGGAGGTTGAGTAATAAGTGCAAGCATGGTTGAATTGCTTGGTTTATAGATTTCAAAAGCCAATTTTATTTAATTATTATATTTATGAATTTATCCAAAGTTTCTTAACTGGCTTTCAACAAAGCCGTAATGATTCCATTGAGGCAAAATGGCAATAAAACAACCATATTAAAAGAAGGCCTATGTGGTGGTGCAAATGACACTTTCTGTTTCCCTTTACCCTCTCTTCCACACCCTTACATGTAAATGAAGAGAAGAATTAATTGTGGCACCCATATTGTGCTCAGAACAAAACTTCAAAAACTAGGATCAAATGTTTCTAAGTGTCTAATCATCCATACATTAAGTTGGTTATCTTTTAATTATTAAAGCTTTGGCAAGCAGAGTGAAAAGGAGAAAGAGAAAGCTTTTAGCTTGATTCTTCAGTCTTGGTTTTGTGCATTGTATACTGGATCTTGTAAAGCAAAGTGAAAGTAAATAGGTGCTTTTAACTTTGGGTAGTAATGAATTTACTGTGATTTGTTTTTTCTTTTCGATCAGTAATTTTACAGTGGTAGTTTAATGTAGTTCAGAAGTGTAGTTGAGTTTTTGTTCACAGAATCTCAATGAGTTTTATGTTAGCTCCTAAATGTTCTATGCTTGTTCTGCATGCTTTGACTAATAGCACTTCATCTTGAGTTCTGCCTTTTCCATATTTTCCTTAACAAATTTTAGATGTTGAGAATCCCTTTTTAATTGCCTTCAGGAAATAAATGAGGATATTGTTCTGCAGGATGATGCACCAAATTCTATGTCTAGAATAAGTCATGAAGAGAGGCAAAAGATCGTGAACCTGGCTAAAGATGGAGTAAGGAAGAGACGGGGTAAACGTATGCAGGTAGAGATTACTATTCTCATCCAAGGTGGTTTTGTCGTTTTTAACATGATTCATCTGCATGAAATTGGATATATTCGTTGTATCTATTTCAATTGCAGACATGCCAAACCCCTATGCGTCCAATAACACCAAGTAGCCTTTTGGATTCCATCTGCTGGTCAATTTCGGAGCCAACTTCAACTGCCTCTATTTATATGGACTCTTCTAGCGTCGAAGATGCTAACCTGCAAAACACATCTGTCTTCTATGACGCTAAGGAGGATGGGAAGGAATCTGAATTTTCATTTGTCAACTTATCCCGACCACTTAAGGAAAGGTTCGGTTACGTATAAGATATGAGAAGTTATTTATGCATCTGTCATCTTCCCATTCTACTTCACTCATTGATGAAGCAGATTTATAATTCACCTAATGATTTCATCTTAATGTTCATGTTCAAATGCAGTGAGAAATCAGAGCTGGTGCTAAAGAGCCACTTTCTTACCATACTGTTTCCAGTTGACCGATTTTCAGAAATGGGTCCTTGCTCAAGAACATATTTCAGTGATAATAATGGCTTTAAGTGTCTGCAGGTCTTGGATTATATATATGCATTTTACCAGGTAATTCATGCTATTCCCCCACTAATATTTTAAAAGGAAATGCTTCTGATTTGTGGACCCAAACCATAACACCCCTCTCCCCCCACCCCCCACAAAAACAAAAACAGAAGAAGCAAAAAAAGACGGAAATTTTTTAGGGTGGTGAGTTTGCTAATTTCTAGAGTTTGAGAAATGGATTCGTTTTCCTTTAAAGTATTTAAAGTAAGCACTGTGCCAAGACTGTTGTGCATCCTGGATAAATTTGGAATGCTAGAGTATATTAAGGGTTAATGGCAATGGAGATACACATTTATCGTTGTTAAAAGCCCCACATTGAAAATATAAGAGAGAATATATGGCTTTATAAGGTCATGGGTTAGATTAGTAATTGACTGGATTCAATCTTTTAGTATGATTTGACCCATGTGTTGCGCATTATAGCTCAGATAACACGGTATGCATGCTTATAACTTATAAGAACCATTTTCCTATGAGTACTTAAGAACCAATTGTGGCTCCTATGAGTACTTAAGAACCAATTGTGGTCTTCCAATATTTAAGATGCACAGATGAGATTTTGTGTCTTATAAAAGCCCAAAATCGCGCATTTGGTGGGAAAAAAATATTGACGCATGATTAAGAGGGGGGTAAATTAGGCATGAGATATTTGTTTACTTCCTTGTAACCCATCAGAGATCCTCCTCTATTCTGTACTTGCACACGCCTCCCTCCAGCCTGGTCCGTGAAGTCTCCAACGTTGTGCACTACCGACGTCGACACCCAGCTGTCACCCTCTGTTGTTTGATTCACTACCAGCGTCTGCAAGATGCACACCGCTACCAAGGCACGTGGAACTCCTCGGTGAGAAGGTATGTCGTTTTATTCTAAAATGGTAGTCTAAAACATACCTTTTAGAATAGAGGAGGATTTCTGACGGGTTACAAGTAAACAAATATCTCATGCTTAATTTTCCCCGCTCTTAATCATGCATTAATATTTTTTTCCCACCAAATGCGCAATTTTGGGCTTTTATAAGACAAAATCTCATCCGTGCATCTTAAATACAGTCGTTATATTATAGACCGCGGTGCATGTGCACCGCGGTAAAAAACGACGCCGTTTCTTTAAGTAAAGAAACGGTGCGCCGTTAGAGTTAACGGAGTCCGTTTGTTTGGTATATTAAACACCAACTGACACTACAGTATATCCAAACCGACACTGCAGTTATATCAAAATGATACTGTAGTTATAGTGAAATGAAACTGCAGTGTATATAAACTGAAACTGAATAACATTTCACATATTTGAGTGTATATTGTACAATGAAGCTGTAATTATATCAAAATGATCATTTAGTTGTGTTTTAATGAAACTATAGTGTATATAAAATAAAATTAAATAACATTTTCACATATTTGAGTCTATAAATATCGAATGAAACTATAGTTATATCGAAATGAAACTGTAGTTGTGTTCAACTGAAACTGCAGTGTATACAAAATGACACTGAATAACAGAGTTACTTTTTGCAAAGGGTGCGAAACGGCGGAAATAAACACTGTTAATTTTCATTTAAAAAAAAAGACGCGCGGTGCATAATCGATTATGCACCGCGGTGCATAATATAATTTGCCTCTTAAATATTGGAAGGCCACAATGGTTCTTAAGTACTCATAGGAAAATGGTTCTTATAGGATTGTTAGCCTATATGGGTGAGGTTCGTATGAGAACCAACCTCCCATGAGTACGTGAGAACCAATCTCATCCATTAAAAAAATAGATAGGGATTAAAAACACGCGTGTGCATATTAGGTATTATGATGTGTGCATATTAAACATTACCCTATGTTGCACACAATACATGCTTAATATGCACACATCATAATGCCTAATATATACATGCGCGTTTTTAATCTCCTAATTAATCTCATTCATAGATCTATTCTTTTAATGGATGAAATTGGTTCTCATGGGGAGGTTGGTTCTCATATGATTGCTAATCATATTATATATATATATATATATATATATATATATATATAGAGTAATAATCAAATGAGACGGCCTCTTCCCGTGAGACCCTTTGTAAACGGGAACAGGTGGATGCACTTGAACATTGCCTTCAAGTGCATCCACCTGTTCCCGTGAGTCCTATGAGACCCATCGAAAATGCACACAAGCTACTACATGAATGCACACAAGCTACTACATGAATGCACACAAGCTACTACACGAATGCACACAAGGTAGATTGTGTGCACTCATGTTGGGCGAATTGCACACAATCTACTCTATAGTAGCTTGTGTGCATTTACGAAGGGTCTCACGTGACTCACGAGACTCACGAGAAGAGGTGGTCTCATTGATTATTACTATATATATATATATTGTCATTGCCTAGGCGACTAGACGGTCAGTGGCACCTTGCCTTGAAAGTCCGCCTTAACAGCAATGATTATAACAATCTTTATAATGGCCTAAGGGAAATATGGGCATATTCTTTGGGCAACTTCTAAATTACACAACCAATTTCAAAATTGTGCAAGGTGAAACTTTGGCATAATAAATGGTTGTGGTTGAAATTACTTGCTTACAAAATGTAGAAATATGGATATATTGTAGTGTTCTTGCCAGTGGTTTTGGTTCATTCTCCATATCATTGTTTGCTTTATAAGGAATGCCTTGCAGCAGCAAGTTTAGGCTTTTGTTCTAGGAGATAGCTTATTTTCCTATGCAATATAACGACGACTATTGCCTGCACAGGAAAACATGTCTATTCAAGAAATCGAGGTAGCCATTCACACAGACTCCAGATATGCTGATAGGCTGCGTGCTGTATATTGCAGCCGTGAAACCACAGAACGTGGCTATGCGGAATTCAAAAGGATCGAGTTTATGGGTAGCCGAAAGAGCTTTGAAATGTTGAAGCGTGTTTCTGGGGATAATAGTAGCAATGTGTATGAGTTGCTGATTAGAGCTTGAAGGCAATACAGAAAACTAAATCACTTCTTTGGTTTATTATGAGTGTCTTCTTGAAAAAAAAAAAGCTGTAAATATTTCCCAACATAAAAAAAAAAAAAAAAGTTTTCATGCTGTTTATCCTTGTGCATGCAATCTGGACAATGATATTTGTTTTTTTGGTGTGTTCTAATTGGAACACAACCATTGTTGTTATTGATAGCTGTTTCTTGTGTAACAAATCAGTTGACAGAAAACTAGTGACAGTCTGGCTAGTCTTGAGAGTTAAGATGAACAAGATTATCTTGAACTTGGGTAATACATGTTCATTTTTAGAGCATCCCCAATATTAGTGTTTTTTTTGATAGTTTTTTTATGCCAAGTAGGTGGAGAAAATGGAAGAAAAAAAAAGGAAAAAAAATTAGTGTGAGAACAAGGAAAATAAGTGTTAATAAATAAGTTTTTTAAACAGAAAATCAAGAATGGAAAACAGAGAATGAAAATTGAAAAATTAAAAAACAAAAGATTATTTCTGTTAATAAACGGGCCCAAAGACTCTACTAGAGGACTGGAAAAGCATTGAACACAAGATTATTAAAGAACTACAATTCAAAGGACTGTTATGAAAAATTTGTGAGTATTAAAACTTTAATCTCATTGTTAAATGACAACCGTTATACCGTGCATCAGGGTGCATATAACAATGTGCACCTTACGCCTCCCAAAACAACGTCGTTTTGTTAATTTCAGGTATAAAATTATGTGCACTCTATTATATAATTTTGTACATTCGAAACATGGAATTTTCAGTTATAAAATTTTGTGTTTTCAGGTATAAAATTCTGTACATTCGAAACATGGATTTTTTTTAAAGAGTTAAGAGTTTATGTGTATTATGTTAAGAGTTTATGTATATTATGTATTATGTTAGATTATGTGTATTATTCTTTCAAAAAAGATTATATGTATTTAGTTATAAAATTCTGTGTTTTCAGGTACAAAATTCTGTGTATTCTATTATACAACATTCGAAATATGAATTTTTTTTTAAAAAGTTAACAGACACGCGAAAAGGTACAAAACGACGTCATTTTGGGGCAGGGCGCATTGTGCGCCCTGGTGCATGGTATAATTTGCCGTTAAATGAATGAGAAACATTTTAATAAGTTTAAAGAGAAAATTACACTTTTGGTCCTATGACTATAGGGGAGGTGGTAATTTCAGTTCGTGACTTTTAAAACTAACAGATTTAGTCCTTTTAGTACGCTTTTTTTACACATTAAGTCCTTCCGGCCAAATCACCGGTGGATTTTGGCCGGAAAAACACAATCCCTTAATTTATTAAATATTTGGGGGGTAAAATGGTCAATTCAGATTCTACTTTCTTCTTCCTTCTTCTTCCTTCTCCTTCCTACTTCTTCGTTCTTCTTCTCCGATCTCCCTGCCGGCCCATCCTCCATAATCTCCGATAGCCGTTCTTCAACCCCTCATCTCCCACGACAACATGCTTTCTGGATAACCATAATCACTAGAGAAACAAGAACTCTGCTCGACACTGCCGCCAATGTGATCTTCAACCATCCCTGCATCTCTCCGGTCACCTTCTTCAACACCTGCGAGATAAATCTTCTTCAAATAAGTGAGCACTTATTCGTGAAAAAAATGATTTGCTGATATCTCCAGTTCTGAGAGTGCACTTCAGCCAGGCCTTTGCCATCTCTTAGAACATCAGATGATTGCCCCTGTAAAAAATACAGAAAAACCAAAGGTACAACTTTACTTTTATGCCAAGAATTTGGTCAAAATAAACTACATATGCTATACACACAGCATAACTTCAAAAAGATTCTTTGGAACCTGAATCAAAAACTTTGAGTGGCCAAAGTGGGCATTCTGTGGGGCCATTGCCTGTGTATGGATAGGCTTTTGCAATCCATATGGAGGATCTACATCTTCATCCAAATTTCCCATAGGATGATACTGAAATTTGCGAGCAGAATTTTTCTTACCAACTTGATTAGACTTTTCCTTTCCAGTAGCAACAGCCATTGAATCAGTTGGATCTAACATAACATTTTCCCTCAAACTTCCGAATTTTGGTGTGATGCATTGGACCGGTAGCTGTCATTTGAGTTCTCCTGTTTGTCACAGGTATCTATCTCATTACTTTTAGCATCTCTTTGAGATGTGGTTTCTAGTGAGTTCAAAATATGGTTCTTCCCCAGTTCTGCACTCACTGTGGGAGTAATCGCCATGTTACAGAGGACTGCCCCCTGAGTTCGAAGGCTAGGAAGGTTGAGAAGGAGGCCGGTGATGGTGCTGGTACCAGTCTGGTGGTGGATGATGTCGTTGAGGTTTCTGTCCCGGCTCCGCCGGCGGTGGATGATGTCGTTGAGGTTTCTGTATGTTCATCAAGAAGGAAGAAGAAGAACGAAGAAGTAGGAAGGAGAAGGAAGAAGAAGGAAGAAGAAAGTAGAATCTGAATTGACCATTTTACCCTCCAAATATTTAATAAATTAAGGGATTGTGTTTTTCCGGCCAAAATCCACCGGTGATTTGGCCGGAAGGACTTAATGTGTAAAAAAAAAACGTACTAAAATGACTAAATCTGTTAGTTTTAAAAGTCACGAACTGAAATTACCACCTCCCCTATAGTCATAGGACCAAAAGTGTAATTTTCTCTAAATTTAAATATTGAACGAGCTTATTCAAATTGGAACGTTATGCTGTGAGCACGTGCCCACCTTGCAAGGTGGGTACGATTCCATATCCATAATTTCTATACTGTAGATTTATAATTTATATACTGTAGATCCATAATTTTATACTGTGGATTCATAAAATTTATACTTTAGATTAATAATTTTTAAACCGTAGATTCATAATTTAAATAAAGTAGATTCATAATTTCTATGTTGCAAATTCATAATATAAAAATTATGGATATAGAACCGTGCCCACCTTACAAAGTGGGCACGAGCACGTGCTCACAACATAATTTGCCATTCAAATTCCTTGCTAGAAAAGGAAACCTAACATAGAGATGGTTGATGAGAACACAAATGAACTAATCGCATACCCGATAAACATTTTTTTTTTTTTGAGAAACCCAATAAACACATTTGATTTCTCTCAAAGTTCTGAAAATACTATTCCATATACTACTTAGCTCTCCAAAGCTAAAGTGTAAGGACTATTGCATACCTAATAAACACCTTTGATCTCTCTCAAACTTCTAAAAATTCAATAATAATTCATTAATTCTTCCATCTAGTACTTAACACTCCAAAGTCCAAAGCTAAAGTACCCAATAAACACTTTTTATATCTCTCAAAGTTCTAAAAATACAATTATATATTCCATCTAGTACTTAGCACTCTAAAGCTAAAGTACGTACTAGATTGGATTTGATCTTATGACCTCTAGGTTAGAGAGTTTAACTTTTAACTATTAGAGACATTTGTTTAGTTTATGTTATATTGCGTAACCATATAGAATATGAATAATAAAATGTTGTATATCTTTGTTTTATTTAAGGAAATGTGAGATCTCCAAATGTGATTTATTGTCACATTTATGAGAATAATCCCATTTCTTCCATTTTTTCTTTTAAAGTTAAGTGGGATTTTCAAAAAAATATTATATTACTTAAAAACATTCTTTACAAGAGAACTCTCACATCATACGGTTAATGACCCTATGTCCCTGCATAACCTTTCGTAGTACACAGGTCCAGATGAAATTATTCTGGGAGATGGTAAGTCCTTGCGTATATCGCATACTGGGTCAGTTTCTCTTCCCTATGCGAACCGTTCACTTCTTTTATCAGATGTCTTATGCGTTCTAAATTTGCAAAAAAAATTGGTCTCTGTTTCTAAACTCTGCCAGACTAACTCAGTTTCGGTTGGATTTTTTTATTCATATTTTTTGATTAAGGATCGAGTGTCGGGCACACCCCTAGTTCGTGGTCCGGTCGTGAATGACGTTTATAGCATTCCAGCTCAGAAGTGTCAAGTTAATACCACAACCTCAGTTTCTAAGTTGCATCAATAGTATGGTCATCCCAGCCACAGAGTTCGGGCTTCCATTCTCAAGAGTAATAATGTGCACTTTGATCGTCGTGCACTCGAGATGTTTTCATGTACTTCGTGTCACGTTAATAAAACTCATAAATTGCCATTTTCGCTTAACTCTATGACCAGCTCTAAGCCATTAGAACTTATATATACAGATGTTTGGAGTTCGTCAACGGTCTCTGTTGATACTTTTAAGTATTATGTTAGTTTTATAGACCACTACACAAAGTATGTCTGGTTGTATCCATTAAAACTCAAGTCTGATGTCCATAAAGTGTTTGTGCAGTTTAAGTCCATGGTCGAAAATTATTTTGGCCACATGATAATCTCTGTCTTTTCAGATAATGGAGGTGAATACACCAGGTTGGTTCCAACATTCAATAGTATGGGGATTTCACACTTTACATCACCTCCCCATACCCCGGAACACAACGGTTCTGCGGAGAGGCAACACAGACACATAATGGAAAGTGGTATGGCGCTCTTACACTTTGCGTCTATGCCATTAGTGTACTGGTCGTATGCCTTCCAAAAGGCGGTGTATTTAACCAACCGTATGCCTACTCCTATTCTACATAATTCCTCCCCGTACAAAAAGTTGTTCAACAAAGAACCTAATTACGCCAAAATTTGACCTTTTGGGTGTCTGTGCTTCCCAGGGTTAAAACCAGTGGCGGAGCCACATGTGAGCTCCAGGGGGCCTTGGCCCCCCCCCCCCCCCCCCCTCAAATTTTTCTTCATTTTTTATTAGTATAGAGCAACCTGGGGCCTTGGCCTCCAAAAAAAAAATATTAATATATAATAGTTATTTTGTGGCTTCTCGCACCAAAATATTTTCTCCCTCCAAAAAAACTTCTAGAGTACAATCATTATTGTGTGGACTATATTTTGTATACGGTCAAATAATGTACATTTAGTACAAAAATAATGTACATTTTATTCAGGAGAGGTACATTATTTTTGTATTGAGTGTACATTATATTGTATAATGTACATTCAGTACAAAAATAATGTACATTTAGTATATTAAAAATGTACTTTTTGTTATGGTCCACATTACACTGTGTGGACCATGTTCCACACAATAATTTACCTCTAGAGTATGCTTTATATTCAAACTATCCAAACCAAACAGGCAAACAGCAGATACACATGTAATTTCTATT